TATATGCACTCTAATATCTGTCAGCAGAGAGGAAAGTCAGGAGTATTTGTCCATTTTATATTCTCAGGCTGCCAGATCTTCTGGCTGAGAAGAACAGGAACTAGAGAGATGACTACCTGCAGACAGACCACAACTTCCAAAGGCACACCGTGTCCTTGAGTTGATTTTGGAGCCGAGTGGGATCTGGCTCATTTCTCCAGAGAGCTTGAGAACGTCCAGACCGTGGATAAAAATGAAAGATGAACGGGGTTGCACCCCTTATACTCACAAGCGACAGGGATGGGACCCACAGAGGTGTTTTGGGGCAGGCACTCAGCTGACAGCTGGCTCTTCACTCCTGGTTCACAGCACTGATGCTTGAGTCCTAATGGTGGAGGAGCTTTTCTCCTCGAGAGGAGCTGGGGCAGAGAGCGTGGAGACTATTCAGGCACAAGGTTGTTCAGGACATTATGTGAGTTCTTATAGCCACCGTGAGGCACGTCTGCTTGTGAGCAATGGTTTCCTACATTGTTTATCTATGGCTGTGGAAGGTGACTCTCAGTCTTGGAAAGCTGGAATTTCCTGCTCTCTATAATTTTAATCCCTTAGATGCTCCTGCGTGACTGGAAGTATTCCTAGAAGACAGGGGAATCGAGACCTTTCCCTTCCCAATGTAGCTTTTTTTGTGAAACAAACAACCCGCTAGTGTTTGTTTTCCAATTCAGGACCAGTTTATCAATAAATCTGGGAGACTTGTTACTGTGTTTATAAACTTCTCAGTGGAGATCAGCTCTAATGATACATTTGCACAACACCTGGCACAGCTTGGCTCTGATCTCAGCTGCAGTACTGACGTGCAGAAACCGTTATTCAGCATTTAATACATTGGTAATTTCTCTCCCAGCCTTCATAAGTAATATTCCAAAATTAATGCAGTGCTGCTTTTATGGGAGCGAATTACTTTGAGGAATTTCTGAAAATGAAATGGAATAGTCCTTGTCAGTTAAGAGCCAGATTTTGATCATGATGTATCTTCTCTACACTGTAAGAGCGTCTACACGTACAGTAACTTGTAAATATATTATTGCAAATAGTTAGCTGCCTTTCACAGCTTTATTTTTTTGACAAAGAGGCTCACAAAGCTCTGGGAGCCTTTAGCAAGGGTTTAAGCAGACTGTTGATTGATTCTGAAATCAGTAGCCGAGTTACAGCTCAGCTACCAGGTATAGGATGAATGCAGGAATTACTGGCTAAAATTTGCAGGCCAGGGTTATGAAGGCAATCAGAACGGTCACTTCTGAGCTCTTAAATAATTGCTTATAATCTATGAAATAACTCAAGGTTTTTCAGAGTAGAAATGAGCTGGAAACTAGGGCTGTGCTGAGGGTCAGTGTCATAAATATCTTCTACGATGCCTGGCAGCAGAATCAGCTGTAGGTTCATCCTTCATGGCCACAGGCATTTAGCACAAGCCGAGGACTGGGAGAAGGGAAGGGTCATCATCACCATCGCCTAATGGGGATTAAGGGATTTGTCCAAGGTCATGCAGGAACTGAAACAAGATAGGGTGTCCCAAAGGTACAGATCCGCGATTTAAATTTGTTCTTCCTATCTGCTAATGTGTAAATATTTGTAATGGCCAAATTTTTAATAAAAAGGAAAAAGAAAAAAGTAAGAGGGAGTTGTTGTCTTAGCGGCTTGCCGTCGTGTGATGCACTTGTTTCCATTATGTAGAGTATTAATTTTAAGAAGGTTTATATCTTAGGAAGGAGAGGCTGGGGCAAGATCCCTTTATGCCACTTGAACAGCTTTTTCATATGGAACTGGCTTTGAATAAGGATTCTAAAATCATTGTTTAAAAAGCTGGAAGCTTCTTAAGGGGTCTTTATAACTACAGAGCAAGAGGCAGCCACCCCTCTCTTTCATCCCTAGCCAGGGCTGTTGTTTGGTCACAATCCAAATCCTGTTGACTTTATTCACAGGGTTGCAGCACACTCAGCGAACAGTCACATGCAAATCACTTCTTGCTGGCATGGAAAAGAGATTGTTGTTTCCTGCTCCATCCTCCTCCAGCCCTCACGGGAGCTCGGCTGAGGTGTTTGAATGAAAGGCCTGGGAGGAAAGGCAGCTCCTTGGGAGTGGGGTTATGAATTTCCCACTTATCACCTACCTCTCTCCCTTAGGACTTGGAGCATCTCTTCTCCACGGACACAAGCCCATAGGGAGCATCTGGCAGGGTTCAGCCGTGGCAGGTATGACAAGTTGTCAATGGACACTGGCTCACCTCAGCACACTGTGGAGCTCACACCATTCCACCAGAGCCAGGAGAGGAAAATTCTCCTCCCACACACTCTATCTGCACACGAGTACAGGTCAACGCTTTGTTTTCTGAATGGATTGTTTTTAAGCTATGAAATAATTGAAATTTTAATGTGAAAGTATACTTTTTTTCCTGATATTTTAGGCCAGATAAGAGAGAAACACAGCTCTGGAAAGGTTTCTTTCCAACACAACCAATAAAACAGTGGCATGATTTAGTTAAAGAGCAAAAAGAATTTCTGCTGATTTGTTCATCCCCGTTTCTCCTACCCTCCACCACTTTAGTACAGACCCCTTTGTCTTCCCCCACCAGCCTCCCAGCCAGTTTAGCCCAGCTGCTTCCGTGAAATTACTGGAAATGAATCAGGAGAACACTCAAATATGGTATCAACCCCCAATTCTCTATCCAGTAACCAAGACCTTGGCTGTGATGAAAAACTGGAACCCATCCCTGGCTGTGCATCTGTGAGTGTGTTCATCTTCCACTGTTGGTGTGTGACTAGAGCATGCCAGGGAAGAAGCTGTCGTGTTTAATCCCTGTCACTCCAGCTGTAGAAGGCACCTTCTCCCAGGGATGTCCCTGTTAGAGACAGTTATGGGCACCTTAAGAAATCTGCCAAGAAAACCCACCCAACCTGCACCAAACCTGTCACATCTTAGCGTAGAATTATTCTATTCAAATAATTCATTTCACATCTCCAAATATAGCTGGAAAGCAACGGAGAACAAGGCTTGAAATCAACCCTCCAAGCATGTAAGAAAATTTAAGTAATGGCAGAAAGAAGGGCCACCGCAATGAGGAGAGTTAGATTAATACTTCCCATCTACATTTCTTGCTTTCCCAACATAAAATGCTTTTTAAATCACAACAAAATTTGTTGAAAAAAAAGTTGCATTTAATTTTAATGTTTCCACTGAAAAACAGATATGACGAAAGTGTTTCAGTTAGAGGTAAATGAGTGGTGGTGGGGAATCCAGGAAAGAGGCATACAATTTCTCCCTTTTTTGTCTTAGAGCATTTTGAAAAAACTTATTTTAGTATTTAAAAAAAAAAAAAAATTCTTAGTTTCCATTTTTCAAGAACGTCTCCTTTTCTTTTCCAATCCCCTTTTCTTCTTATCAGCATCTGTTTCTATAACAAAATCTCACTCAAAGCAACAAATGCGGTTCTATATACAATGTACACGTAGGGCTCAATACTTTGTGTCAAGGTAGCTGAGAAACTCTTAAGGTCCACAGGGTCCCTATAGCAATAATTCATCACACGGGACTGGATGAGTAGGATAAAAAACAATGGATCAAATATTTTTTCCCCAGAACTGTCAAAGGATATTTTTTACTTAAAAAAAAAAAAAAAGCTCATATTTACCTAAAAAAAAAAAAAGCCATCAGAAAAAAAAAAGACTGCTACTCAAAAATGGCTATTTACAATCTGTGAACCAGATACTCATTTAGGCTAGTTCCACTGAATTAATTATTTGTACCCATTGACAACCTGACCAGGAATTTGTTTTACTCAAGTCTACTTTAACAAAATTAAATATCTACCTCTTTTCAAGTGGTGCGAGTTTCAAAGTAACAATTTCCCTGGTGATACGCTGCGACAGTTGAAGTTTCCTACACTTTGGCATCTCATGAAATTAAGAAACACTTGCAGACACAAACCTCCAGGTTCACACCTGAGCAGTACCACTTGTCCTCCCAGGGAGAGAAGAGCAGGCTGCAGAGAACAGGCAAGCTACGTTACTTACAATTCAGGAAAGACCAGAACACATGCACACCTCTGCTCTGGAGAGGTGGTTTCCATTTGGTATCAGATAAAACCCAAAGGATGAATAAAAGAAAGGAGGGAAGGTCAAGGCTAATCCTCTTCCCATCACATCAACGCAAACTGCTTTTGTGTTCAATGGAGTGAGAAGTTCACCCAAGGTTTTCAAACAGTGACATCCTCCAGTGGGGCAGCAAGGCCAGCTGTGAACAATAACAAGACCTGGACACAAAGTTTTGCAAAAGACAACGATTTTTTTAAAAGGAAAAAATAAGAAAGCTCTAAAATACTTAATTAAAAAAAAAAAAAAAGGAAGAAAAAGAAAAAAAAAAAAGCACCTTTAGAAACAGAGAAGAAGGGCTCAAAGCAAAGCGAGTTTGGTGGTGGGTAAAGCTCAGTGCCATTGACCTCGGAAGTCTAATGAAAACCAAGGCTCACGTCTAGACAGGGGTCTCTGGTGAAATGAACTGGGTGACCTCGGCTCAGTTTGGGGCTTTGTGGTACGTGTGCGTGACAGTAACAGCATGACAGACCCTGCTTACGGGAAGCTCTGAAATGAGTGAGGGGAAAAGAGGGTCCTGACATAGAAATCCTTCCAGATTAGAGACTGCCAGGCAATCCAGTGGGAGCGCAGAGATTTGCAAGCAGAGGGCAGTGTTTCATGCTAAGAGCGCTAAGCAAGGGCTCGTTCTTGAAGTGAACGCCTGGAAGAGCGTTATGATGTCACTGTTGGCGTGGAGAATCCTTGGGGAAGGTCAGCTGCAGTTTGAGTCCCTGGAGAGTTCTGCTGCTATGGGTTCCCTTAAACAAGACCTTCATTTGGCAGCATTTTGAAGGCACTGGAACGCCAGATGTTGCCCCAAGCATTGTTCCTAGAGAAGTTGGTCCATAGCTAGAAGTCAGAGCTCCTTTTACGCGTGATGGAGGAGTCATCTCAGTGGAGGTAGGTAGGTTGATTCCATCGGTACCAAGATCTGTTTGCAACACAGGGAATAAGAGCTACAGTTGCCATGTTGTTAACCGTTTTCCTTGAAATACAAAATCATTATTATTCTCTGTGTAACCTCACTTCGACTTGGCAGCCAGCAAACGATCCTTTGCTCCTGCAGGAAGCTGCTAGCAACCCCCCTGTCTTTCTAAGGAACATCTTCCACGGTGGCTCATGAGTTCACCTGGCTGTTGGGACTTCCTCCTCATAAGAGGAGATCTGATTCACGGCACAGGATGATCCATGACTCAGAAAGCCCAGCAGCTGCAGGTAACACCCTCTGCTCCCTGTGGCCTTCCTACTGACACACAGCATCCTTGGTGCCATGGAGCAGGAGCCACAAACACAGAGAGGCCTCAGCAGCACAGACCGTGGCAGAGGCACATTCAGTGAAATAACCAGAGGGGCTCTGAGCCCGCACGTGTGGCTTAATGCTTTTGTAGCATCTAAAGGCAGGGCAGAGGAAAATCTTTCCTCTTGTTTCATCTGCTGCTGTGGAATAGTCAGCTCTGCAGCAGAGCTCTCTGGGTGGCACTGCAGGAGAGAAAACTGGCTGTGGAGGGGGTTATCCAAGCAGAAACAGCCAAACTAAGCCTTCTTCTGCTTCCTCCACACAAGGAGTTCGTTTAGGACAGTCCTTATGGCCAGTGTTTCTATCTGGGTTTTGGTGGGGGGGGGGGCTTTTATTGTGTTTTTTTTTTTCCCCCTTCTGTTTTTCCCCTTTTCTTTGTTTCTCAGCACAGTTTTTCAGGCAAAACTTGATTTACTATTGGTCCTCAAGCAGAAAAATAGCCCTATCCCAAGAAGCTTTGGTTTAGCTACAAAGCTTCACCTAAGAAGGTGCCACCACGCAGCTCCACGTTGCTGGAGCCTCTCAGGGCTCACACATTCTCCTCTAAGGTCCCACTGCTTTTCTCCCAAAACCCCTGATGCCCCTGCCAAGGAGCAAGCTGCTGTCTTACCCTGAAGAGTTGAAACCGGATGAGTTCATTGCAGCTTTGGAGTTGCTCTGGGCTGTGCCGGGGCTGCTGGCATGGAGTGCACTGCCAGGGGAGGAGGGCCTGCTGGAATTCCCTGGGGAACACGATGATGTTACTGCGTAGCAGAGAAAGCAGAATAAGGCCGGGATCTCCTTTTCCTGCCAAGGACAGCCCGAGCCCGAACACTCCCACCCTATCTTGTACCCATCCCGTTGGTGTGAGTCACTGCCTGCCCTGCAGCAGCAAGGCAGGATCTGTGCCCCAGCCACGGAGAGGGTGGGGGTCTCCAGGACTGCACTCTCTGTAGCTTCTATTCGTGTGAATCACACTTATCAGAGCAGATCTGACAACCTTCTGCTGGAGAAACAGAGTAACCTACCCCCAAGCACTCCTTCTGTTCGGCTTCTAGGTGTGCCTGGCTCCCAAAGCTAAACACCCCAGTAAAATTTGCCTAGGATTATCCTGGGAATGTTACCATGCCCGGGAAGCTTTCACATCTTTGTTCCAGCCAAGAGAAAGGCCCTGCTGTTCTTCTCCTTTGTGTACCAGTTATATGGGGATACTTTCCCTGGCCAAACCCAAGGGTCTTATTAAGAGTGGCCTGCAAATATGAGCTGGAAACCAAGTAGGGAAAGAGCAGGAGCAGAGGAAGGAGGGAAGGAATGGCAAGTGAGGCAGGTTTCTAAAGGCTTATTCTAAAGGCTTACCTGTCCCAGGCATGGTGCTATGCACTGGATTGACGGAGAGGGGCCCCAAGGACCCTGAGGTAGAGACCTAGAGAGAAACAGAAGCAAACTGTAAGCACGTGGCACCATGAGGGTATAGATCACAAAATGCCACTCCTTTCGTACTCCTTTCAGAGTGTGCTGGCTCCCAGTCCCAGAGGACTCCCAGCTCCCAGCCTTCCTATCTACATCTGAGGCTCCCACAGATATTTCTGGTCATGCTGTAGTGTAGAAGCACCATTCCCATACCCAGGGTCACAGAAAGAAATCAGAATGAGCGTACATATGCCTGACACTCTCTACACAGGTCTAAATTTATGGATCAGCTATGGAAAAGTATGGAAAAGCCTTGAAATTATCAAATGCAAGCCAAACTTTCTGGAAGTCCTGAGATCCCATCAGTAGGAGCCACTGCCCTTTGGATGTTTCAGCCTGGGTATTCCTAGCCTGAAACATCCCAGCTCCCTCTGGTCCTGGGCACAAATAATCCCTTCTGCTTTGCGGCGTTCTTGATGGGTGAGAATTCTCAGGTGACAATTAGTAATTTGGTGGCTGCACTCAAAGCGAGCCTGCGGCATTTGTTGTTCAACCGTGATAGTTTAACTACAGGCAACACGTTCAGAATGACTGATGAGCAAAGGCTTGCTTCGCAGAATGCCTTCACAGGAAAACTATTCATCAAAGCTACTGCTTTAAAAATTCATGGCTTGCAAGCAGCATTTTGTGTTTGTGACTGTAGACCAAAATGCGTTGTGCAACAAGTGACCAAACTTCTTGTGATGTTTTCCTGCCTTCTGATGCATAATTCCAAAACCCGGATGATTTCAAGATAAAATATTGCTTGTGAATATGTGCTCTCCCTCACACCCACGTGTGCTCCAGCACTAACAACGCTGTAGGGAGATTCCTGACACTTTTATAGGTGGAAGCAACTAAGCAATTATTAACTAGCAGAAACGCAATAGTAGCTTGTTATCCACAGTGGCCACTGACAGCAGGTTGCAAGAACACGTTTTCAGCTGCTCTCACAACAGTTTCTCTTTTCCTCATCCTTCCTGGCAATGAAAATGTGCTTGCCAAAATGTGAATGGACAACACGAGAGAAGGACAGCCAGCCCTGCTGGAGTGTATTCTGCCTTTCTGCGCAGATGTAAAACAACAAACATGTAAATGGTTACCACTAGGTTTCAGAGTTAACAACTCTGGATGCAATTCTCATCGCATGGAATGCTGATTCCTCCCCCGTTAACCTCGGAAAGCTTTTACTTACCAATCTTAGGGTGAAAAGTTTTGGAATAGCACCCCTGTTTGGATAAATTTGAGTCACCATCTCTGGATGTGTTTAAGGGACGTTTAGATGGGGTACTGAGGGACATGGTGTAGGGGAGGACTATGTAGAGTAGGGTAGATGGTTGGACTCAATGATCCCAAGGGTCTCTTCCAACCTGAATGATTCTATGAAATTATCCTACAATTAAACTGACATGCACCTTCTAGTAAACTTGTATCATCTTTCTACTGCTTTCATTAATAGAATAAAACTAAATATTCTGTAATGTGAGCCTGAGATTCCATTCCATTGGGATGATGAAGCTATGCCAAATCCACGGCTAGCCCAGCTCCTCCAGGTGTTGTCCTCACGGACTGTGGAAGGAGCTTCCCAACAGCTCAGGGACTTGCGTGTACAAGGTTCTGCCTCCTTTTCCAGAAAACACTCCTGTATCCCCCCACCCTTTTCCCCGCTTGTCTGGGATGGCACCTAGAACTCCTTAATCCAAAGTCTCTCACCAGTCTGGAGTTGTAGATGGGTGATTTGATGGGGGATGGCATCGGGCAGCTGATCCGTTTTTCCTTCTGGCGCCGGTTGCAGAACCAGACCCGAACCACCTCCTTTTCCATGGAGAGCTGCTCTGCTATCAAGGATATCTCCTCTGAACTGGGCTTGGGGTTCTGCTGAGAAAGAGCAGGAGGTTAAAGCAAGCCCCAAGGAGCTGTGACATACAGCATCAATGTATGGTCCCACTGCTGGGAAGGCAGAGAGCAAAGGTGGGGTTAGTTGTAAACTGGGGAGGGGAGAAAATTTGCTTTTAAGACAAGGGGTAAATATTAGGGTGAGAGATTATGTTCTGTGACCCAGAAAGTGCCTCTGATTCAGCATCAAGTCTCACGGAATCAGAGGGGGATGAGTCATACAGTACCTCGTCCTGTTATTGCATAAAGCACCATGCTCTTTGATCTTAACAGCACCCTAAATCATTGCTTGGGGGGAAGCTAATGACTGGTGGTCTTCTTATCAATACACAGGACACACAAGCTCTGAGTGCTGTCTGGACTCCTACCTGCACCATCTCAGAGAAGCCACTTCTTCTCTTTCTTCTTCCATCCCTCATTTATAAAGGGAAATAATAGTACCTGTCCTTTCTTCTGCATCTCTTATTTTCTGGTGCATTTGACAGCATTTAGCTCTATGAGTTTTGATCTGTGTTGGAGACGTGAGGGTCAAAAATACCTAGCACAGAGATGCCAAGACAGCTTTCCCATTACAAAGAATCCCTCATACTAGCTAAAAATGAGGTGCCGATAATGGTCTGGCAATGACTGTCTTTTGTTCTCGTTAACAGTCTTAGGAGGAAAATTTTAGATGATTGGGAGAAACCAAGAAAAAATGACGGCCTATCAAAAACAGTTTAGATGAAAAATTCTCAAGGTACAATTTAGTCCTAGTGATTTAAAGCTTTGTTTGCTCTCTGCAGTGATTTTTCTTGAAAATCTTCATGCTTAAAAAGTGAAGGGCTCCACTTCTGAAATGATTCAGCAGCAATATCTGGACCAACTAGTTCTGTGGTCTCACAAGACCTGCTTAACGGGGCGCCCGTCCCGGCGCTGCGCCGTGGCCACGCAGCTCCCGTCACACGCACCCAGAGATGAGGTGGGTGCAGCAGATCAGCTCTGGCTGGGGCTGAAAATGGGGAGGTGTCGTGATGAAATTGAGGAAATATTGTGTCCGATTTCCTTTTTTTTAAAATCACTTTTCCTGCTAACCCCTTCACGCCTTTTCTAACCTGCTCTATCTCTTTTTTTTTTTTTTTCACTGACAGTGATTTGCAAAATGGAACGATGTTACAGAAAATTAAGCACCGCTTCCTTAATGCTTATGGATATTGGTGTTTTCTCTGTGAATTAGCATAAATACCATATGTGTGCTCTTAAAAGTTCAATTTACAGGCAAGGTAAAATTTTTTTCACAGATTAACCTGCTCTTTTTCTTTTTTTTTTTTTTTTGAGGATTCAGTGCTTCTATGACCCAGCAAATACCAAAAATCAGAGAGAGTTCACAACACATTGAAAGATTTTTCCCCTCACATCTTGAAATCTTTTCTCCAGCGTGGAGCGGATGTTGGTCTCAATGCTGGTTCGCTTCTTCCTTTTCCGTCCAAACATCTCGTTCACTGAGGGGTAGGAATTGGGAGTGCTCATGGAAGAATCCAAAGGAGCAGATTCTGGAGAGAGAGGAAGGGGAAAAGAGATATTCAAGAAGATAACGAGCTATTTTCATTCCTAGATCCTTTCTGGGAACTATGGCACCTTCTAAAATCAGTAAAATGTTCCTACATCATGGATCCTTCCTCTGATGATTAAAATTGCTTACAAATCCTAAATTCATCAACAATCTTGTCCAAATCAGGAAAGAAATATGAATGCTAAAATTTTAATCGACGCACTAGTTTTCTTTTTTCCAGTTTGATTTCAAGCCTGCTCTGATGGGGACCACACATTTTCCAATGGTTTAATTTCGCACAGTTAAAGATATTGACTTACACCCCCAGGATCAGGCCTCGTGTAGGTGAAACACCTCCTGACACCATACATTGGTCAAACGTGCAAGTGCTGAAGGGCTGAGTAAAGCACATGAGACTAATCCATTCATGCCTACAGTGGTTTGCAGCCAGCAGAGGACACCAGCCCAATCCTGCTGCTACTGGGGATTCCCCTTGCAGTGATAGCTTCCTTTCCTAATTACTAATCACCGGGCTGACCTCCCAGCACTCTAGGAATCCCTTCCTGTTCTTTCCACTTTACACAGGGAGGGACTGAATGGACTAACCCAGCGATTTGCCCCAGGCCGTGCAACCCAGAGAGAGGTGATGCAGGAAGGGACTGCCCCAGACACCAGATTGCAATGTGAATCCCACAGTGCCAGGGAGAAAGGACAGATGTGGTTTGATATCCTTGTGCTGCTTGTGCAACGTGCTGTGTGATCCACAGCAGAAAGCAGCCATGGATCTCAGAGGTCTTAACCCCAGCTCGGATTTTCCTAGCTTTTATTGGAGGTTCCTAGATGGATCCTCTCGTCCTGGCCAATTTCTCATCCTGGTGGCATTTCTGCATGTCAAGTCACCTACCTGCGTCACTCAGCCACTTCTCCAGCAGGGGTTTGAGCTTGCACATATTCTTAAAACTCAGGTTGAGAGCCTCAAAGCGGGAAATGGTGGTCTGGCTGAAATCATTGCCATAGAGCTTCCCCATGGCAAGTCCAACGTCACCCTGCCAGAGAAGATCCAAAAATCACAACATGAGCTCAGAAAAACCTCTCACGGCTTCCCGCTGTCACACCACTTCTCAGGTTGCTTCCAGGCTGGCTTCAGCCTTGTTTCCATGACCTGCCTTCCAGAGAAAGTGGCTTCTCTTCCCACAGGAATCTGCCCCACACCCCTGAGCCTTTCTGTGCTGGAGAAGGTGCAGATAATGGTGCTGTGGTAATGAAATATTGGGAAGGGTTTGTCTCTTCACGCGTTTGGAAGGGGATGCTCCAAAGAAAGCCAGACTGTATCTAATCCAGCCCTTCCTCCATCCGTGTCTCTACCACAAACTCCCCCATTCCAACATCTTCACATCACATTCCCAGTGACGAGGCCACTCACCTGTGTGAACCCCAGTTTGATTCGCCTTTGTTTGAAAGTCTTAGCAAACTTTTCCAGCTCTTCCAGGTCACTGGGTTCCTCAGATGCTCCTGATGGAGTTAGGTGCTTTGCCACTTGCAAATGCTGGGGTACATCCAGGTGGGGTTCAACCGATGAGCCAGGGAGTCCGGAACGGCCCACAGCCTGTAAAAACAACAACAAAAAAGATGCATTAAGTCACAACAATAGAAAAGTACACTTTTTTTTCTGCCTTTTGCCTTTAGTGAAGCAGCAGTTTTTGCAGATGAGTGCTTCTTGGGGTGGGACTGTATATATTGAGGCAAGTTACCTGTGATGCCAGGCTGGGTCCCGGCTGGGAGAGGAGAAGGCTGCCCTGTTGCTGAGGGAAGGAGAGGAGGTTTGGCTGCAAAGCTGAGGAGAGAAAAAGAGAGATGCATCTGATCAGACCAGCTCCCTCATCAGCACCTGGGCAGCTGAACGTCCCTCTGCACAGGGAAGGGTCATCTCTGAATGGAAAACATCGGATCTTGTTAAAAAATACGAGAATTTCAGCCGTTACGAGTGTGGATGCCTCTGAGCTGGATCATGAGAAAGGAAAAGTTCTTTTCATATTGGTTTTTTTAGGCCAAAAAGAATTATTACAACAATGATATAGGTAAAATATTTCATCCACTGATCCCTGCATGTAGCTCATTAACCTAAGGCTGAACTAGGGGACAGACATCTAACTTTGATTTCAGATGCCAAGCAGCAGAGAATTTACTACATCCTTAGTGGCGTTCTCTCCCAGTGCTTAATCATTGTAGCTGTTAAAAAACATTTGCATCTTATTTCCAATAGAAGCTTTTCTGACTCCAACTTTCAGCCACTTGGATCTTGTTAAAAAAATCCTGATTCTACAGTAAATTGCACGAGCCTTCTCACTCTGCTTTCCACTATACATTTCATTTTGAAGTGTCATTTTGAAGCCATCTGACCCTTTCTTTTCTACCCTACTGTATTTCAAATAAATTGAGTTTCCTTTGGAATATATAAACTGACACAAAATGATGAAAGGAAAAAAGGAGGGAGATCTATAAAACTAACAAAACCTAGTATTTATGGAGACTGTGTAATTGTTTAGTTGACAAACTGCCAAGCACAAGCCTGTATCTCTTGCAGGGAATGTCCTAAAGGATTAAGTAGTGACAGAAACAGTGTAGTTCCCTAGAAATTTAGTTAGGTTCTTCAAATCAGTTGAGGGTGAAGCCTATAGAATTTAGTAAGGATTTATAACCTTTCTTGAAACAGTCAATATATTCTATTGATTGCAACTGACAATTATAGGGAAAACTACAAATTTATGGACTTCTGAAAAAAAAAAAAAAAAAAAAAAAAAGAAAAATAAAGTCTTTTGAAGCTGGGAAAACAGCTGTTTTCAGAATAAGGAATGACCTTTGCAGGGTTCACAGTTGTCTGGCAGGAGAGCTAGGAAGGAAATTCCAAGGCTCCTAAATTTCCAAACCAGTGTCCTATAATCCAGAACATAAATATTAGTATTATTACCATAGCAGTGATGTATTGTTGCCATTTATTTGCTGCAGCGCACACATGGTGGTAGGGGACTTTTTAGGTAAATTAATGGAGTGGAATTTTGGTGCTGGAGGTTAAAAGTCTGTATCTGCCTGATTGCTGCTTTACCAGTCCTCCTGTGTGTGACATTGTGTGAGTGTGAGTGAATTGAAAGAGGGTGAAGCCGCTCATCAAAATCTCAAAGAATTTTCTACTCTACCAGTTCAGATATTAGGAACTTCCCAGTTAATTATTTTGGTTTTTAAATTGCTGGATCTGGGGATTTTGGTTTGTTTGTTTGTTGTGTTTTGTTTGGTTTTTTCCTGATCATAATCTGAATTCTTTTCATTTATACTCATGTGCTGACGAGGTGAGGGGGATTGTAGATTTGACACAGTTTAGCTGCCACTCTCAGAGCCTTCCTAAGTGGAATGTGCTGATCCCACTCTGAAATCTCTTTATCGCATGACATCTACGCTCACAGCATCACAAGGAACTGTCAACACACACTCTGTGCACTAAACCACCCCTTGTTATAACATTTTTTCTACTTCTAGGCAAACTTTATTCTTTTGTTTGTTTAAAAAAAAAAAAAAAAAAGGAAAAAAGATAATCTCCAGAATCAATCAGTCCCCCCTCTCTCTCTTTCTGTCTTTCCTTTTTTAATTTAGATCTGAATGTGCAGGATCCCATTTATTTATTTAGATTGGTGTTTCAATAAGCTTTCTCTAATGCTGGAACAACTTTGAATTTCAAATGCAGGCTGGTAATGAGGTGCACATTTTTAACAGTGAAGGTAATTAATCACTGGAATGGCTTGCCTAGGGACATGGCGGATGCTCTGTCATTTGGAGTCTTTAAAATCATGATTGAACACCTTTGCGAAAGCTAAGCTCCAGCTCAAATGAAAATTATGGACTGGATTCAGGAATCACCGGTTTGACATCTGATGAGACGGAGGCTGTGTTTTCGTAAGATGAAGACTTCAGCAGCAATATCTTGGCTGAGAGTGTTCCCAGCACCTACCTGGCTGTTGGGTTCCACCTTCACGGCACACAGTTCACCCCCTCATTTTGAGTGTGCCAGCATTAGCTGGTTGAAGGGCTGCACAGTGAATCAGACCTGGCAACTTACCTGGCTTAAAAACACCTTCAAAACACAAAAACCAAAAGAAAACACCCATCCTCTCGGGAATGCTAAGCCCACAGCCAAGTCCCTTTGGCCATGAAATCCGTGAACTGATGTATCCATCAGTCAGAACTCAGGAAACATTGAGGGTGTTCCCATGATGGCCCAAGGGACAACTTCAGGAATATTTTGGACACCTCTCTGGTATGAAGAACACTCCACCTCTATCTCTACCAAACAACTAATTCCACAAAACTTATCTGTGCCTTCACTTTTACTCCCCAGTGGCTGTGCGTGCACATGGCAAAGGATCATTAAAACCTGGCAATCATCTATGCAAATGGAAGTGCTCTTGCACAAAAAGCTGGCTACTGGCCAGAATATCCCAGCTTTATCACGTCTGGAACCAAAAGGGCTCATGGCCAAACCAGTGGCCATCTGTTGGAGGGGTTTATAGCTGCCAAAGGAAGTCACTTAACAGAAGAAACTCTAACTCTATAAAAAGGAACCCAGGTCTGTTTTGCAGTATAATGTGTTTCCCATTATACATGAATAGAAGCAGGCAGCACACCTGCTGACCCTGCCATTTCAAACAAACTAAATTCTAGATTATTGGTAAATATATAACAAGTCATTTCTTTTTACACCACTTAGTGTAATTTGGCAGAGAGAAGAGTTTATATACCACCAATGAGAAAGAGGTTTCCCATTTGCCTACAATACAGGTTTTCTTTGGGAGCATATGCACCAGTGGATTCAAGCTGCAGAGATGTTAAGGTTTTAATTCTGAATATTGGTTCGTATGGAGGGATCTCTGTGCTGGAGTAAGTCAAGAACGTGAGCAAAGGACCCAAGTACCTTTGCATCTGTCAAGTTATCTGTCAGCCTACGCTTGCCTGTCCACAAGCAGCATAAAACTTCATCGCTGGCATGCTTGTATCCCTGTTACTGGAGAAATGCCATCAAAAATATCAGGGGGAAAAATAGAAACAGAGGGACTGTCTCAAGCAATGACTTCAGTCCGCAGTCCTTTCACAGAGCTGGTTACACCGCGTTTCAGAAGGACTTAGACCTCCTGTCCTCTCCTGCCCCATGGCTTGGAGCAAGATTTGGGAACAACCACTGGCAACTCCAAACTTCTCAGCTCTGATCCCCGGTTTGCTCCCGGCTAGGTTAGACCTCTTTGTTCTGGTGCCAGCATCATCCTTCCACCAGAGCAGCTCAGCTCCTTCCCTCTAAGGTATTAGAGAGGTCAACTCAACCTCTCCTCAGTTTTCTGGAAGAAATGGAGGGTGCTAACCCGGCGAGGCTGGGAGCTCAGGCAGGCTCCCAGGAGCTCCCAGGGAGCAGGCTCCTTGCTCTTCTCCTGAAAGCCAAGCAGATGCTGTCCTGAATTTCGGAGGTGGGATCCCCACCAAGCCTGCAAAGACTGGCCCCAAGGTGGCACTCTTGGAGCACACAAGCCACAGGTGCCAGGAGCATCTCAAGGACCGGACCTTTCCCGGAGCAACCACTGGGATCATCCCAACTGTGGGAACCAGCACGGGGGGAAGAGCAGGGGAAAACGCAGCCGGTAACACAGCAGGGGAACAGACACCGTAGTGCTCGGAAAACGTAACAGATCAGATTAAAAGCAACAGTTATGAGAAGGGAGATTTTTCCTAGAAACGTATCTGCTTATAACAATGCCCCTTTTGGCTTTTCTTCCTCTTACCTTGTTGTCCAGCCTGGGACTGAGACAGAAGAAACTGGGGAACTGACTGCATGTGGCCAGGAAGCAATACAAGCTGCTGCAGGGTGTGGAGAGAGCTCATATCCTATGGGAAAAAGCAAAGGGAACAAGAAGACTCAGAGGTGTCTGCTCTTCACACACTGTCACCTCTCCTATAAAGCTTCCCTCCTCTTTTATACTGTCCTTGACCCAATTCACACTTTACATTTAACTGCCAACATGCCAGATTTGTGTAATTCGTGCACTGGAGAACTATGGATCCAGAGGTACTCCAGGATCTGAAGTTTTCAGCTATATAAGAATAATTCTGTACACGTTCAGACATCCACATGGAGAATTGTCTGCTTTTCTCTGAAAAAGTCAATTCCTGAAAAATGGTGTTTTTGAGGCACTGACAATCAAAACCCAGTTGTTAGAAGTAACAGCGAAACCTCTTGGATTTCAGTTTCTTTCAGACAATGTGTTTTCAGAGAGTCAGCTCCCTAAAATTACAGAGTGATGTGCAGCTGACTGTCCCATCTCACGAACACCGGGAGCCTACTTTCCGTGGAAGGCTGATTTCCCAGCCAGTCACGTGCTGGGATGGGAAAGAAGCAATGCCCAGCAGTGCCTGATTCTCTGCACCAACAGCAAACGCATCACAATGGACCCAGTGACCAGATCCAAAAATGTTTTTTCCTGTCCTTTGCCACGAAATTCCCCACCCTGCACTGCCAGAAATTCCTCACCGTGCCCTGAGTGGAGCAGGCAATGGGTACTGAGAGATGAGGATTAGATCCCAGTGCTCTTTCACATTACTGGGGTCCCAGCCCCAGGTCTGGTGTAGGGATTAGAAGATAAGAGATTACATTTGCTTGGGATAGACACATACACACACAAAAAAAAAACCATTAAGACCAACTCTTTTTAGAGGTACCTTTTTAAAGGAGCTCATTACTCAATAAGATGAGCTTTTTGAGCTTCTCAAGAACTGTTTCGAAGCCTTGGGGAACTTGAACAGTCCCTGAATTGTGTAAGGGATCTGAATACCCCGTGAAAGAATGAAGGAAGAGATTACTGAGCAGCTGTGTGGCCTTCTGGCATCTAACTCCCACTAGCATTTAACAAGAATTAAGTGCTAAACACCAATTTTTTACCTTAGGGAAAAAAAAAAATCCCTCAAGGAGTTAATTTCTTCTCTTGTGTAAATCAATTGGAGCCAGCAGATTCAAGGCTGACTATCCTGGTTCGGTTCAAGAGTTAATCTAGCCTCAGATGCCATCTCCAACAATGGCATTAACAAGGTGTTCATGAAAGAGGAAGACCAGGGCAAGCATACCTAATGCTTCCTCTTGTGTTGTCTCAGCCTCCGATTATTTTCAGTTCAAGGGATTTCCTGAGCATGGTGTGGTTTGCCTACTTAGTAAACCCTCAAAGGAAATCTCTTCCTAGTATGTGTCCAGTCTGCCTTTGAACACACATAAAATTTTCTGCAGAAAAGAAAGAGGCTGAGGAGGAAGCTGACTTTTGCCAACGCAAATTCACTTTTTCAACGTAGTGGCCATCATACCCTCAAGTCTCCTTTTGCCACTGCCGAAAGGCATGTGTAGTCTGGCAAGCGTGTCAAACCCAGCCTCTTCTCCAGAGGTCCATTAACCAGTGCCATCTCAGACTTCCAGATCCCCAAAACAGTGAAGTCACTTACCCCCGCAATTTGGCTTCCGGGCATCATTGATGATCCCTGCACAAGGTGACCTGACCTAGGGGGGATTGTAGACTGCAAGGAGTCGCTGAGGTCTTCGGTTTTAATCTGAAAAAGAGCAAAGTAGCTGTAGCATTAGGGAGCAGAGACAAGGGGATGGAGGTGTGGGGAGGCGAGGAGCCTGAGAGGCTGGAAGGCATTGGGAAAGGGGCTCCTTTCAAAAAAAGTTAGAGATCAGGGCTCACTGCATCCGTCCCACGCTTTGCAGAGAGGAACGGGGTCGTTCCTCACTTCTCCTCTCCAGTTTATAACATGAACATAGTTTTCCTGCTCTGCCAAGCCAAGGGGAGGCTTGCAGAAAACATACTAATTAAAACACTTGAGGAAGTAACAAAGTTGCAGTGACTTAGCAAGGTTCCAAGCACGGGAGTGCTTTCCTCGGAAAACACATTGAGGCAGTTTGTGGAGTTATAAGGGAGACAGGAGGCAATTCTCCTTTATGGATCACGACTCACAACCCTTGGCAGGGCTGGCTATCGATAGCCTCTTATTTTGTTCTGCAGGTGGCAGAGAATGGTACAAGGGGACGGGAAAGGAAAGGTCATGAAGTAAAAGACCTCAAAAAGCAGTGTAATCTTCCAGACTTGAAAATACAGCACCTCAGGCACCAAACATATTTCAGAGCAGAAAACAAGAAGAAATTGTACTGGTTTTGGCAAGGAAAAATCTGCTTTCTTAGCTAGAACAAGCCATGGATAAAGAACTGGAAAACTTCACAGGTGTCAGCCCTTCGACCAGTGGTCATTTTGACCTACTTTAAAATTCAAGAAAGACTGCTATCTACAAAAAAAAAATAAAAAAATCTTAATTTCCTAGTCCACAATCTTATGAGAAAATTCACCCAGAACTAGAACTGAATCCTTGTGTCTGGTTTATTTCATAGTTTCCATATTAGTTTCTAGTGTTGCCACTACATCAAAAATAAACAAACAAAAAACTGTTACATCACTTTGTACTAGCTGAAATCCTTTGCTAAGGTTGACTGGGTCAGGAGAGAGGGGAACTTGGGAAACTTTTAGAAGTTTTTAGGTTAATTCCTGAAAGCTGAGGAGTGGCTATGCGCAGATGCCATGCACAGGAGACAGAAAGGTTGTAAGAGCTCTTATATTTTTTTTTCCTCTAAGAAAAGACCCGAGCAAACAATTTCTAAACTTAGGCTGAAGTTTTTCACAAGCATGAGAACGCCTGGCACAAGGCAACCATGAGTCCCATTCCTCATCTAAGCCTTTCCAGTGTAAGAAGAGGTTCCAGTTTCCACAAACTGGAAAAAACAGGAGGACACCAGAAAAGACAGGTCTTGAAAACCCTGTCCACTGGCCCAGCATTGCAGGTTTCTTCTAGGGCTGAACCTCACCATCTCCCACCAAATTACTCCCGAGCCCCCCAGAAGGACAAGCGGGGTCACCTTTGCTGGGGTTTTGCCGTACGGCCTTTAGGTCCTACAGCCTTTAGGTCCTACAGCCTCCTACCAGCAGAGGGGGACAAGAAATTCAGTTTTTAATAACAGCGGCCCAAGCGAATATTTTTGGTTGACGAAGGTTTTACTTCAATTTGGCTAAAGCAAATGAATCTCCACAGGAGCAGAGGAGAAAACACGATCACAAGAGGCTCTCAGCTGCAGTGGAGGAGCTGGCCCTGTAACGTTCACCTCTGCGTTGTGGCAGGTACCACGCGGAGGGGAGAGAGTTACAACATCTCCTTTCATTACAACGATAGCTCTGGACGCTGCCGAAACTCGTTTTGCAATAATACTAGCTCCTTGCAACAAGAGTTATACGTGCTATCAATTCCAGTCCGTTCCTACCTTTCAGGTTGGCATGATCATCCCTCTTAGCCCGGTGAAACAAAAATCAGATGAAAAGATCTTCTTGATGGCTATCAATGCGGATAGCGTCTAAGTCACTAAATGTTAGGGAAAAGGCTCAGGAGGATACACCGTTACCCCTGAGCCAGTCAGTCATTGCAGGCAAATGATTTTATGCACGTTTTCTTTCTGAGGGTGCATTAAAAAAAAAAAAAGTCATCATCCGAGCCAAAAAGTAAAAATAAATTAAAAAAATAAATAAGTTACGCCTGCTTGCAATTCATTGTGTCTGCCTCACGCAATGCAGTCGTCCAAGTCTGAACAGTCCCAAAAAAAGAAAAGTTATCCACGTCTTAGAGAACAAGGCACTTGATCCCGCCTAAGTTATGATCCCAATAGGAGTGGAGTGTTGAAGAAGCACAAGCCATTTCCAAACTGAAATCAATTTTTACAGCTGCCAAGCGGAATGATTTGGAAGCGTTCCAGGGCGAAAGGGGTGTGTAGCTGCATCCCGGCATCGCACAATATGAGAACGGGAGGTGGGTTTGGCAAAGGACCGGTTCCCAATTTAAAAACAACAACATCTCCCACTGCTCCTTCCCCCGTCCCTGGAATTCTCTGGCTCCCTCCTGCGCAGTGGGCGGGAACCTGGGTGTTCTTGACAAATCCTTCTCCCCTGCACCTATTTTTCATTGGGTTTAGGCTCAAATTTACCTCTCCCTCCTCTCTCTCTCTCTCCCCAACAGGCCTGCAGCTGGCTAATTGTTCATTAGCAAGAGTTCGGGGTATATCCAAGACTTTTGGGATGGTTTATGCAAATCCTGCACCTTCTTTTTTTTCCCTGGCTAAACCGGCAGTATTACCAACTGTACATTAAAAAAACCAAAACCAAAAACCCCAAAAAACCACACACATTGTGGGCGAGGCCACTCAATATCATGAGACTCCCTTAAAATAATGCAAATTTCAAATTAATAAAACTAGGGGAGGAGTTGCCTTCTCCTTTCTCAGTGCATCTGACTCATATTTGCAGGCATTTTCTGGAGAAAAGTTTTCTTTAAGGAACCAAAAAGCGGTTGGAGCGATCAGAGAATCACCTCGCGTAGGTACTAGAAGCTAAAATATTGCAAGTGAGAGACAGTGATTTAGTTTAAACTAGTTAAATCCCACTGTGCTTCCTCAGGACTTTGGTTTTACGCGACGGTCATGCCAGCCGGGGGAATGGGGAAGGAGAAGTCATTGAGTGCAAACCTGAGTTTCTTCCCATTGAATTCAATTTGGGGAAATAACACTTAGATAAGGAAAAAAACCAAAAAAAAACGAAATTACGAGCCAGCGGGAGCAGGCCATGCACTGCTAACACGTCCCCCTGGCCAGCAGGTAGGGAGAGGTGTGAAGCCCGGGCTGGAAGTTGTGGATCTACGGGCACCTTCTTCCCCGTTTGGGCCGGTGGGGAGGCTCGGGGCAGCGTTGGGAGCAGGCCCCAGCTCCTCCCGAGGAGGTAACGGCAGATGGCGGCACCGGTACGCACAGCCACAGCCACCTTGGGGCTCCGGCGGGATAGGAAAGGAATCACACTTGCAAATCTCAAGTGGATGTTTTCACAGCCTTAAAATAGGGTCAGCTGCCCCCGAGCAACGGGAGTGAAAAACACAGGAAGGGTGACTGGATGGAAAGAGAGTCCTTTCCTTAAGTTGGCTAGAACCTCTGCAGGGCCTGGCCAAGGATGGGTTGTTTCTTACCTATCTCTGGCCTAAAAACAAAAACAAAAAGCAAAACAAACTAAGAAACATATTGAGGGCGATGGAAAATGATCAAAGCTCTTCAGCTTGCTTGCGTAACCGATTTGTGGAAGGTGTTTCATAAACATTTCATAAGAAGGAGAATTATGAAGAAAACATCTCCCAACCTGCCTGCAATTACTGCACAAACTCTTCCTTACCAGTAGGGGCCGGTGGGGAGGCTCGGGGCAGCGTTGGGAGCAGGCCCCAGCTCCTCCCGAGGAGGTAACGGCAGATGGCGGCACCGGTACGCACAGCCACAGCCACCTTGGGGCTCCGGCGGGATAGGAAAGGAATCACACTTGCAAATCTCAAGTGGATGTTTTCACAGCCTTAAAATAGGGTCAGCTGCCCCCGAGCAACGGGAGTGAAAAACACAGGAAGGGTGACTGGATGGAAAGAGAGTCCTTTCCTTAAGTTGGCTAGAACCTCTGCAGGGCCTGGCCAAGGATGGGTTGTTTCTTACCTATCTCTGGCCTAAAAACAAAAACAAAAAGCAAAACAAACTAAGAAACATATTGAGGGCGATGGAAAATGATCAAAGCTCTTCAGCTTGCTTGCGTAACCGATTTGTGGAAGGTGTTTCATAAACATTTCATAAGAAGGAGAATTATGAAGAAAACATCTCCCAACCTGCCTGCAATTACTGCACAAACTCTTCCTTACCAGTAGGAAGAAGGGGAGAAAAAAAAAAAAAAAAAATAAGTACATCTGTTTTGTAACTGATCTGTGAACTTTTGGCAAACATTTGGCTCATGAAAAACATCCTGCAGACATATTGCAAAGCTGTGAAAAGCCAGCCTTACACGAGGAAGTTGGAAAGATTCGCCTTAGCAGCTCTGATTTCACTGTGTGGAAGGCCATACCCTCCCGACAGACAGACAGACTGACAGACTGACCAGTCCACGTTTGATTCAATGGTTGGATCCTGTTGGTTGGGCAGGACTCTGGCTGCAGCCCTCCCCATATAAACCCAGTTTAAGGTCTGGTAATCTGGATTGATGTTCCTCCTCTGCCAGGCAGCAGGACGGGCAGCCTGAATGCAGCCCCCCAAGCCACCTCCTTTTGACGAACACTTCTGGGGTAACGTAAGCACCCCTCATTGTCCTCTTTGCAGAGGTGGAACCCACCGACTGATTCAGCACCCAGAGCCTCGCGTGCTCTCCCCACATCTCGATAAGAGATCCCCGTGCCCTGCCCGAGTGAGGCCGTTCAAGCCGTGTCAGCCTTCTCCAGTACCACTTACGAGGCAGGATCTGTGGTGGTTCTTGTGAGATAGAAGACAATCATATTTGTTGTGCAGTTACTATTTAGACAGTAACCTCTTTGAAACAGATGTTTATCTGCCTTCGTATCTGGCTTATCTCACAGTCAGCAACTCACAACTGTTTAAGAGTTTGACTTATTCACATCGCTCCCTCCCCCACTGTTGAGGCTATTTCGCTGGATAGAAATAGAAGATC